TGGAATCATCACTGGCTGTCAGATGTCTCAGTGTAGTCAAAATCGTTTCCTGCAACAGTACAGGGTTCGTGGTACTTTTAAATGTATTTATTTGGACGGTTTACTTTCCTTACCATTCATGGCACTGAAGCTATGGCGACACTGCATTATACAAGCCCCATGACACCAAAGGGAAAACCTGGGGCAAAGGGAGTCTGGTCAGCATGCAAGCCCTGAAGAGGATGCCGAACAGCTTGGGATTGCTCGAGGCTGCATTAACGGCGGCTCGTTATTTGTCGGGAAGAAGATAAAATTGTGCAAGTGGCCAAGCCAGAACTCAAAACCTCGTCGTATAGAATCTGGCTGTGGAGAACAAGGAGGCGCCCTGAAGCTACAACTTCCCAAAATTTTCCTTGTCCCATCTTCATCAAAATTTACACCACTGACTGTTTTCCATTCTGCACTGCCGAGGCGAACTCATAATGGCGGTCGAACACACCAAAGATAGTGGTTAACGCGTCTGCGTTTACGCGTTAACGCGTCTGCGTTAACCTACTGCGCGTCTGGGAAGCCAGGGGTACGGGTTTCGATTCCCCGCCGTCCCCGCCCTTCCTGGCAGGGTGAAAGGCAGGCGACGCCATAAAGCCTCAGCAGCTGAGTGCGTCGTAAAGCCCTAATGACGCACTCGGAACACACCAAAGAAACATGGAATGCGGGTGTTTGAAACATTGTTGTGCTTTGCTGAAACTAGGTCTGATTAAGCTGCTGTGTCTTATGTTTGACATCTTGCTTCAGATCCCCATCATGCTGCATAAGGAGTTTGTTCACGTGGATGCGGACGGTCAGGAAGTCTACAAGTGCGGCTTCAAAATCGGTGGTGGAATCGACCTAGACTTCACGAAGTCTCCTCAGGGCTACACAGATAACGTACGTAATACGTGTAACTCGGTGATAGTTGTGTGCGTCTTATTCCTTCGCCATTGTTGGGTGTGTTTGTTACATTCATGTTGGTAATACCTTACTATCTGTTTGTAAGGGGAGACGGTTTTGTGTCCGTAAATATATGGTCTATGTAGATAGAGCGTATAATTCTGTAAAGCCAATATATGCATTTCTCGTATCGAATCGTAAGGCCGAAAATAATTTGATATACTCAGTACCTTAATATATTATTGCCGCATTGGTCCAGCAAGGTATGACGCTGGTGTAACTTCCTGCGTGTTTTAAGTAGTTCCGAGTCTGTTAGTTAGTAAATACATATGCTGGAAGTACCAGCCTAGATGATAGTAATAATTTTACGCTTTCTGCAATGCTACATCCTATACTGGCTCGAAAACGACGCGCTTGCAGTGTTTGAATGATCGGTGTGTGATTTCAGCTATGTGTCCCGACAGCGGTTTTCTCTGCCCTCTCTCCGTGCTGCTGGGACGGTGGTGGTGTAGTGGTCAGGGCGCTCGGCTCCGGAACTGTCCGTCTTGGGCTCTCCCCGGCCGCCTCGCCATTGTCGCTTCCCACGGAATTTCTGATAAAGCTATCCCTTTCGAAATGACCCTGGCAGCCGGTGGGGCGTTAAGCCTCAATCGTTATGATTATCTCCCGGCCCGTGATGCTGTGGGTTGCGATTTGTTGACCGCCGACTACGCAAGAATAGTGATTTGATCTATAGCCGTCTTTCCAGGGCATTTACGTCACAGAGGTACACCCAGGGAGCCCAGCAGAAAAAGCCGGTCTCAAAGTGGATGACAAAATTCTACAGGTATCGTGGGTCGTCACAACTGTGACACGTACGCTCTTAGCTGTTGCGTAACATTTCCGAAAGGGGCATGGTGATTCTTATTAAGTGTGCATTTTGTGCTTTTAGACATGGCGTGCTATGCATAGTCAGGGGCAAACACGCGAAACCACGCGCACGCATAAATTCGCGTCTACGAAGAAGCTAACGCTCTGTGGGAGCAAACGTGTTAGTCGATTTCGGCAATTGCACTCGATATTTATCGTTACCAATGTATCTCACCTGGAGCCACCTGTTACCAACGCTTCCGACCGTCCGATTGTTCTTTCATGCTGACTTAATCGCATACCCGCCTTTTTCACTACACATAATGGGAGTTTCTCACCGGGTTGAAGTCTAGCTGTGCATGTATGTGACCAGATGAGACGCGTAACCGAATTCGAAATGGATACTTTGACGTTTGTCGTACTTGAGTAATGTTGTGTGTTTGAAACGATAATTTTATCGGCGTTGTCACACTTCAGGCTCAATTTCACCAACTCATTTTCCTCAACAAAATTGATTGTGACTGTTGTGCATCTGTTCCCAAAGTATTTGTTCAGTTAACTCTTTGCTAGACTACTTTCGTCATTGACCGTACTGGGAGAGACTGCCTTCGATTTCGTCAAGAGCACGTCATCGATAACATTAAAATCTAGTGGAGGCCTGTCGATTTGTGCTTCCGCGCTTAAGGTGAACCGCGTCGGCTGTCAGCTGGTTCAAAGTCTCGCCGACACACATGCGGCGAGTTCGTAGTGCGGTTAATTCGGTTGGTCAGATTTTGACACAGATTGGTCTAGACAGATTTCCGATCCGACAGATCCGACAGATTGGTCCAGCACCCATCATACAAGTATTTGCATAGGCATATGAACAGCTTCGACCAGGCTTGCCGTGCTTTACATTTTGTCGAGATGAATTGCTTAGTGTACACCCTGGGTGTCCCGGGTGCACGTCTCTAGCGTCATGAAAAGTGATGCCCAGTCCCGCTCATTTGTTGCACGCTATTATTGTGGTAGCCTCCAAATATGACATGCTTTCCGTGAGAGCATTCTGACGGGGCATTCAAAACCGACACATCCCAGACCGCTGAAGCCGACTGTTGATGCGGCGATGACCGTCCGTTGCAGTGTCAGGGCTATGACTTCACCATGGTCACGCACAAACAGGCCATCAATTACATCAAGAAGGGCAAGAGCCTGAACCTGCTCGTGGCGCGGTACGGCGTCACCCACTCGTAGAGCGAGGGGCGCGGACGGGACGGACGGCGCGGCCCGGCCGGCTCCAGTGCTGCGGCCTGCTGTCCCTTTCTTCCATCTGCAAGGCGAAGAGCTCTCTTGAAACGGTCGTCGATGAGAAGGGTGAAGATTACTGTGATCATGCATGTCCAGACCATGCGTCCTATATATGGCTATTTTGAATTGATCTACGGCTGCCGCGCACGTGCCGCCGGCTGAGAGTGATTTCCCGCCGTTTGCCACGCCGCTGACCGCCCTTGCTGCCGCCTCGCCCGCCGCGCACGCGGGTGCTTCCCCCCTGGCCGGCGCGCTGATGGCTCGCTCAGAGCCCGGTGGCCCGCTGGCTGGTGTGTTTTCATGCTGGGGCTCTGCAGTGCACAGAGCTGAAGGCCGCCCCGGCTCTCCCGTCGACATCCGGCTGGGGAGCGGCGCATCGCGCGGCTCTGTCGTCGCTGGAGCACATTCAGGGCGGGCAGGGTGAGATCGGGCCCAGCCCGGCTGCGGTTTAGTCGTGTTGGGCGTAGTTTTAACCGGCCTTCAAAAGGCTGGCGCGGCCTCTGGCGGATTTCCTGCACTTGTCGGGTGTCCTGTGTTGACGTCGATAGCTTGGCCCGCGCTGGTCGGTGCTCCTGACCAGCTGACCTTGCATGGATAATCACGCTTGTGTTGAGCTGAGCTGGGCGCGAGTATGACAGCTGTGGCGCTCATTTGTCATCAACAGCTGGCTCATGGGTTGGAATTGTTAAATTTGTGAAAGGACCGCAGCCAGTGAAAACTGCAGTTGTCATCTAACAGCTCAAGACATTCGATGTACGCCACGCGCTGCCGGTCGAGGACGTGCGCCGGCCCAGTCTTGACCGGAATCGCGCCATGCCCGGTGCATGGCTGTGTGACTTTTTATATGGGTGTTGAATAGTGGCAGTGCAAAAGCTACGTTTTGTCCGCGTTTCTACAAAAGTACCTTTGCACGTTTGTAACGTCAAAGGCACGTGGTGGCGAGTCAACAGATTGGGCCTGGGGAAAAGTGATGTAGTTAACTGCGAAGGCAGAGGCCTGCCTTCATTTCGTTATCTTATATCTGCTGTCTCCTATCCTAACGCCATCGGTGCATCTAGTAGCCTATCGTTGAGTCATGTGAAACCTGAGTCGTGCGCGTTATACCATCTGAACGGCTGATGCGCCCCCACGCCCACTTGGTTATCGTTGTCCCTCGATTCAAGGGTGATATGCTTTTATCAGACGTCCGCACTGACCGTCGAAATCTTCCTGCAAACATTAGACATAACCGTTGGCTTACAAGTAGTAGCATGCGCTACTCCCAGGTATGGCAGCACTTTTAACCGAAGCATTTCTTGCCTCGAGCCGATGAAGACAAGTACAAAATTTGTAAAAGCTTTGTCGGTGATCATTTGTTCGGGGTCGGAAAGCTGTTTATACGAAATTAATTTGTTCCCCTTGTGGGGAGAATATGGCTCAGGAGGTTCGTTGCGGCCCACACCCCCTGAAATTGATAGTGTCAGCTGCGTACTTACAACTTCTAAGCTTGGTGAGGCTCCCGCCACGACTCTGTGACCGTGATCCTCGGAGAAATTGGGGAAAGCAGGAGGGCTTAATGGCGGTCTGCCTCGTTTCTTTCCACGCAGCTTTTCATCGGGGTTAGAGTTAATTTGTGCAGAGCTTTGGATGGCGGCCCTTCCACTGGCCTCTCACACAGGTCCCATGCATTCCGACACCACACGATTCCGTAATCACCGTCTGTGACAGCAACTATGTGCTAAGTTATTTTCGTATGTTTTATATGTGATGTTACCACGTCGACGCTGTTCCCTTGTGCATGCGTCACAGAGCGCTTGGGTCGGTGTCCAGTCCCAGTTCATCGCGATGTTTATATCGTGTGCTGTCAATACCATGCCTTGTTCACTCGTCCGATGGGAACTAGTCCGCCTCTGTTCAGTGATCACTGTGTAGGACTTTTGGGGCCGCGTTGCGCGCCCGAGGCTGTATTACGCATGACCGAGCTTCTTGACAGGTTTGAGCGGCAGTGACTCGCGTTGGGATCTCGAGCTTCTCTGGCCTGCTCCGTAACGCTTTCGTTGTCCTGTCCCAGCCACAGCGCAATACATTTCAGTCATGCACGGTCTCAGATGTATGTACAAGTGGTCTGAAAAACAACGTGCTATGCGCCGGGCGAGGAAGCCCGTCGCTGAACTAATGCGGCACGATGAAAGACAGCGGCAGTGTTCTGGTCCCACCAACGTCAGCGGATCGCCGCCATTTTGTACAGCTTTACAGCGCCACACACTCCGAATGTCTGTTCTAAATGCTGTGTCATTGTCACATGAAAGACGACATGGCTGTCCGGCCGCGCGTCACGTCGCTCCAGCGTCGAAGCCCCGCCGCCGAATGCCGGACCGGAGCACTACAACAGAGCAGGGGCGCCGCCTGCGCGACCGGCTCCGCCGGCGCGACGCCGGAGCAGTGCAGATGGCGCTGCCTTCGCAACAGCGGATACGCCAGGCCAGCTGGCGGCGCGGTGGCGGCACGAGACGTGACGTCATGCCAGCACACTGAAGGGTCCACATGCCGTGCCTACGCTACAAATCTAGTTAAAAAGCATATGTATGTAGGAGCTGCGTCGCTCCCGACTCTCATCACTCACTGGACGCCACCGATCGGTGGCGGTGACTCCAAATACGACGGAAGTCCCGTGAATGTGTCGCAGGCGTCGCGACACATCGGTTCAGCACATTTGTACAACTTATGGATGTAACATATCGCATGACTGTTCCAAGAGTCTCCCTCAAGCATCACAATGTACCCCTGCGGCCCTGACGCCCCGCAGCTGGCTGTCGCGGCGCCCCATCAAGCATTTTTACACAGTACGAGAGCACTCGCTGACGGCCGAACCCGGCGGCCGGTGGCCGCTAGCGAACCAATGAGCTAGCAGACAGCCGTGTCGCACCAAGATGCGCCGCCCATCGCTCCCATGTCGCTCCGATCCGCTGGCTTCTGGGTTCCTGTGCGTGGTCGCGTGCCATGGGCGCTTGGACGTGGTGCCTCCCTCACAGTGGTGGTGTGAGCGTCCGCTTGGTTGGCTGTCGGCGTTCACTGTACCGGCTGGTCGGCGGTGAAGTTCAGAAATTCTGGAACTGAGGCATGTTTCAGATTACCAACGAATTGTGGCTGATCGGGATGTATTGCCTGCAATACATCTGGCGTGGGTATGCCATGCTGTAGTATATATATATATATATATATATATATATATATATATATATATATATATATCCATGGTGTATGATTATCTATCATCGTGATGTTTCTAAATTGGCTGATTTCCAGCCCGCACCAGCAGTGGCGTGGCGTGCTCGGCGGCCGGCCGGCCGGCTCGCGGTCTGCCGGCCGCACCTGTCGTCAGCCGCTATGATGGAGCGCTGACGGCCGCGGGTGAGGCGCTAACGACCTGCGCCGGCACGTGGGCGTAAACACAGGGCAGAACACCCGCTGAGCTCGCCCGTGCCAGCCGGCTCGGCGGTGGTCCGCCGCTAAATCGGGGTTTAAAGGGCGGCCGCCTCCCGCCAAGCTCACCTTCCAGCGCGTCTGGCAGTGCCGCGTCCCACCACCAGGCGGCGCTGGTGACCGGCTCCCTGCAGCGCCAGTCGTCTGCGACGCACGACAGTCCGTCACAACACGCACCTGGCACGGCCAGGTGCACCCGGCAATCTTCACTTGTGATGAATAAGTTGAAGGAGTCAAGGACCTTGGACATTGGCTGACGCGTACACGCCTGATGGACTTGGACTCCTGCCGCGATCTCGGGACTCGACAGCTCGGTCCCGGGCTCACGCGATGTTGAAGGGGTGAACTCGAGAGTCCGACTCGGCCTGAGGGTCCGGGCCTCAGAATCAATTTCGGACACTGAATTTTTTGACCTTGACTTGTGTCTGCACATGGTGTCTAATGGGTAAATAATATACGTGAGCGTGTAGTACATGCGACTCGGCAGTTACCTGTGTGATGGTCGGCCACCAGGGGCTGCGAGTCGCTGTACCACTGCTCCACGGTGGAGTCATAGCCCAGGCTGTCGCTCAGCTCCAGCTGGAAGCGGGCAACATGGGACATTGTTACACCCACGGCCGACGGCAGCTCAGCTGAATGGCGAGGCTCTGACCGGTCATGGGGGAGACTGATGTCGGTTCTTTGGAGGAGGGCGATGTCAATTATCAAAGGCACGGCGTAGTCACCGTGCTTGCGTTCGAAATCGTCCACAGCGGGCAGGGCACAGGCGAATGAAGCTCGCCCGCGGCTGCAGAGGCGAGCGGGTCGAAACACACACGCTGCAGATCAACTACTATCACGCTCTCTGTGTGTGTGGCGGTGGGGGAGGAGGGCTGGACACTCGCCCACTGTCACGACGTCAGTGTGTGTGACGGTGGGGGGGGGGGGGAGGGGGCCTGGACCCACTGCCATGCCCTCTGTGTGGGTGTGCAGGGAGAGGAGGGCGGGGAGGAGGCCTGGACACTCACCCGCTGCCGGGAGACGGACTGCTCGGCCGGCGTGTGGTTCTTGATGTGCTTCCGCAGCGACGACGGGTCCGTATACCGTTTGTGGCAGCCCGGCACCTGGCACATGTACGGCTTCTGAAATGCGGAATGGACGAATGTAACGAGTGGCGTACGCGCAGCGTGTTGCGGTTGGGACGAAACGAGGAGAGACAGCCCACTCGCTGGTACCTAGCGCAGAGAACAGACGATGAATCAACCGGAAATAGCCAAGCTCCGTCAGGATTGGACCGTGTGGGTATACTGTCTGTTTGCGTTGAGGAGAAAATAGCGCGCGAGTGCATGACGTTTGGGGATAGGCATCCGACTCCCCTGAACGCTGCGAGAAGTAAATTTGTGCTCACATGCGGATGCATAGCAACCAGTCGGACCGCACCACCTCCTCTGACATGGCCAAGTGGCGTAAATACGACACGTTTCTGGACATCTGAGACAGTCGGAGCAGTTTTTGACTGTGGAAGATTATTTTAGAACATTCCTTGATGCAAAAGTAATCGATATTCGATGAGGTTTTGAAAATCATGATAGATCTTTGAACTTTGGTTATCAAGGCTGTGCTTCAGATCCGCCCTTGCTTATGCTTGACTCTGCATGCGGTTAGAGGCGACCAGGAAATCAAACAAAGTTTTTGTTCAGTCAGGGAGGGGTTGCTGTTTCATAATTTTTTGAGAGTCGGAGTCCCATTTGAGCTTCCTTAAACATCGGCGAGTAAACTCAAATAGAAATGCAAACGATGCATGTGGATAATAAAGCATTATATGTGAACACAATGGGATGTTCATGGATCTGCATAATTTGCCATCAACATTGATGCTTTGCTGATAAACGTTAAGGCTTGTATAAAACTCACAACCGTGACTCTAAAACTGCCACTAACGTTGTCAACTCCAACGGGGTACATTCCATGGATGTCCTCGCTCCATGGGTTAAAATCGAAGTCCACTTAAAGTTACGTTGCGCTGATTGGAACGGGAATCAGCCCGATGCGCTGTGAATCATACTCTGAAGCTATTCCCAGCCGCGGAGTCAATAGCGTGTCTGGCTAAATGTTAATGCATTTCGGCGACTAATAGGAATGAAAACGTGCTGTTCAGGTTGCATGATGAGGAAAATTAACTTATGATCTTCATGTACGTGTTATCTACTCAGCATTTGGCTTTTCACCACCAAGTCATTCCCAGTCCTGAGTACCATTCCTGAGTACCGTGGTTGTACAGGAGTCCGCAGTCCTGAGTACGAAGACGTCCCCAGTCCCGAGTACCAAGAAACGGGGCGCAACCGGAGTTTTCTCCAGGGCGAGAGGACGGCCTCGGTGAGGACCCATCACGTTTTTTGTAGCAAGAGTCTTCCATGGAGGAATGTAGGAATGTGGTGTTTAAGAGGAAGGGGGACGGCATCCCTTCCCCCTCTCCTGGACTGTGCCTGTACACAGCAATTCCAAGTAATCTAGAACGGCTTTATGCTTCTGTACAACCACGCCGCCAGAGCGCGTTTTTCAAACGTGCAGTAGCCTGAGCAGCGACGCCACAGTGCCCTTGAAAATGACCGGACCACGTGGCCGGGCGGCGTCTTCCTCTTCACGGCCCGGTGGCCGGCGATGGTGCCCAGCTGGCCATGGCTCGCGGCCGTTGGCGTCGGCGTGGCGAGGTCATGACCTCCGCCACGGCCGGGGCACGTCCCAGCGGGCGGCAGTCCGGCAGGTGCCGGCACTGCGCGCTGTGACGTGCCGTGCGACGGCCATGTGGCCGTCAGCCGCGCCGCCGCGCCGGCCGGGCCCGGCACCCGGACGTGCGCAGTCGCCTCCGCCGCCGTCGCCGCCGCCGGCTGCAGCACGCTGCAGGACATCCGAGCCGCGGCGGCCAAACATTCCCACGCCGCGGCGCGGCCGCGCCGCCGGCCGGCCACCGGTCCTGATGACCGGCCTGACAACAGCCCCGCTCCCGATGGATCTCTCGCGGCGATGACCGTCGCTGGCATCCCGCGGCCGCTGCTGACAACAGCAGCTCTGGCTGTTGACCGCCACTGCCGTCATGGAGCAGCTTCTGACTGTTGGTCTCGCTTCGGTGTCAGGATTGACGCCAGGTGGCTCGTCATTGTTTTAAACAGTTAGTGCGTGCCTTTCCAATGGATGGATTTTTGGGTCCAAAGCTCACGCTATGTAGTGCTTTTTGTGCGAGCACTGACCCCTGCCATCCGACCGCGTAATTCCAGGGCAACGGCAGAATTTGGTGGCGAAAGTTCAACGTGACTCGATGTTCGGCGCAGTCCGTCCTGCCCCCGACGTCAACCGACATATAGCATGGCTGCCTCCACTGACCACAGGCAATACCTGTCAAGGTCAAGTACCGAACGCCCGAAGTGACTCGCACCCATCCCACCACGGATAGGTAGATCGGGCGGCTGGCGCTCTAACCAACTGAGCCACCGAGACAGACAAATGTCAGCCTTCAGTTAGCAGCTGCCAGATCAGCTTTATCTTGGCCCATAGGCGATAACGCGACCTGTGGTACAGAGAGGTCGAGAAAAGTCTATCCAAGTCCAGTACAGTGACACAATCTTGCTTCACGTGCAGTCCTCTGATTCGGATATCTCTGTCGGCAGTTTGAAACACCGCCGGGCGAGTGCAACGCTCGACACCACCAGCATCCGTCAGCGCCACGATCGCCTCTGCCACTTCCGTTCAGAAAGTGACTCACGCTATCAAACGAACATACCACGAACCGCATCCAGTTACTCGAGCAGTGCGCAGCGTTTCAAGGCCCACGCCTCGGCGACGCCACGCTTCTCCACCGCGGCAGCTGCGCCTCGCAACATGAGTAGCGGCAAACGGGCGGCCTGGCACCCGGCGGGCCGGCTTGCGCGGTGACGGCTGACTAATAGAGTACACACACACGCCGGCACACACCCAGATGGCGGCGCCGTCACATGGCGGCCGGCGGCAGGGCGTCAGCCTCCAAACCGCCGCCGTTCATTCAGACGGCGCTCTGAGTCACGGCCGCCCGCCGACGCCGACGCCGCTGCGGTGCGCAGCTGCGCGTCCGAGTCGGCCGGGCCCGAGTCGTGGATTCGGGCCCGAGTCGGTGCGTCGGGCTCAGGTCGATGAGTTGGTCTGGTTGAGGCGAGTGCGTCAATGGGTCCGCTGCTCAGGGTCTGAACGGACGGCTATGAGTCCAACAGACGTCCGGGGAGATACCGAGGGCAGGAGAAGCGAGAATAGGAGCCAGTAAGGGCAGCAGCGCGAGATGGGAGTTGTCTGGGTAGTGTCGAGAGATAATAACCAGTATGGGTAGCAGCGGTCATAACAGCAAGCATGGGTAACGACAGTCATAGGAGCCAACATGGATAGCAGCGGAAGATGTGGGGTCAGTAAGGATAGCAGTGAGGTGTAGGAGCCAGCCGACAGCCAGGATCAGCCGTGAGGTCTCCAGTCCGTTGCTCAGCCTCTGGCAGCCCGGCTGCTGCCTCAGGACTCGCACCGTACATCTGCCACTGGCTCAGGACCGGCGGCCCAGATCTGCCGCCGCTTGCTGCAGGGGCGGCGAAGTCACTCCTCGGTCTGGTCTGACTTGGGGGTGATAGAGCTAGTGGCTCGCAGATGGTCTTGCTTCAATAGCAGCGTCGACGCCCTCTATCAGTTGTTGCAGTGGAGTGGGGAAAAGGAGGATATCCGAGACAGCGGCATGTGTTTGCAAAGGATGAGGATATCCTGTCGAGCGCATATGGCTGGATTGGTTACCACAAGGAGAATTCCCTTACTGAGCATCCGGTTTGGTGCTGAAGGCTGTTTCTTCTAGCTTCCACTCTACGATAGAACACGGCATACCCTAGTCCGCCAGGATTTCAACCAGTGTCTCTTTTCTAAACGACCACTCGTGCAGCGGAGAAGCTGAGCGCTTTGTAAGGAAACGAGTAAAACGGCGGGGAAAGAGACAGAGAGAGAGGGAGAGAAAGAGAGAAAGAGAGAGGGAGAGAGAGAGGAAGAGAGATAGAGAGAGAGGGAGGGAGAGAGGGAGAGAGAGAGAGGGGGGGAGAGAGAGAGGGAGAGAGAGAGAGAAGAGAGACAGAGAGAGAGAGGAGGAGAGGGAGAGAGAGAAAGAGAGGGAGGGCGGGATTTGCAGTTGAAAACTCACCGCATCTTTGTGTGTCCGCTGGTGCTTCGCACGGTCAGAGCTGTTTGAGAACGCCTTAGGGCAGCCGGGAAATTCGCAGTTGTACGGCCTCTCGCCGGTGTGAGATCGGAGGTGAATCTTCAGGTTCTCCCGACGCGAGAACGCCTTGTTGCAGCCGTCGTACTGAAAACAGAAAGCTGTTATAGTTTTGTCGGTGTGACCGTAGTCGAATAAGGACCGAGGCGCGTTATCCCGTGGCCAGGATGCCTCATAGAAATCATAGATGGCCAGGGCTCTTGGAGAAAAACGTGGAGGTCCTGCGCAGTCCTGCGCAGCCCTGCGCAGTGCAGCAACAAACCTTGATCGCTACGTTGTGTTCCCATGTGCAGGGAGTGTGTGATGGCCGTTACAACGCCCCGTTTGCATTACCAATAAATTAGACGTCATTACGTGTTATGGCTACGAAGCCTACCTAATCCATGCCTCAATTAATTTCACAACTTAATTAATTGCGTAAACAGGTGTCGGTTTCTTTCACGCCACAAAACATGCGTGTTTGTGCGGGGCGCTCTGCATCAAGTTTCCTTTCGACTCCAAGAGCCTCTTGCGGTGCATCCTTTTTCTCTGCAAGAAGTCGTCAAATGTATCCTTTGAGCCGCCGCCGGCCGTCGCGCGGACCCATCACAGCCACCCGTCTCGCCTCTCCTCCGAGGGTCGGCCGCAGTTTTTGCCCACCAGCGCCGAGCAAAAATGCCGGGCAGGAGCCGGCCTGGCCCTGAGTTAATGATGCAGCTGTTGCAGCGGCGTGCTTGCGGCGCTTCTATTGCATGGGGGCGACACGCGAGACCGAGAGCGGGCCTGCGCTCCAAGCGGCAGCCTTGGAGATGGCAGGCCGGTCGGCAAAAAGCCGGCGGAGTCGGCGTCTCTGGATCCTGTGTGCGCGCAGGTGTGCTCGGTGGCTGACGCATGTCACGTTGAGCGGTCTGCGTTTTTTCATTGATCGATCACGTGATAATGTATCTATCGTAAGATCTTAAAGCGAATGTTTCATCTTTGAAGTTATTAAGGCGAGTATCAGACATGAAGAAATATGCTCACTTGTAACTATTGGTATGCTCTAAAGTGGAAAAAGCTTTTCTGTTTAGGGAGTATGCTTCTAATCACGTCACGGTTTAATTATGTCGTCGGACCTTGCACAACATTGATCGAGAACTATTCGACGGCCGTAATGTCTGGAGATCGTGCTCACGAATGCCAGACACGTTCGACTCGACAGCTATGTTTTTATTGGCCTTGATCGCCGCATGACCAACGAAATGGCAGGATTTGAATGGTGTTATTATGGCATCATGGGGGCCTGGGTGACTTTGATATATCGCCTCCAAAAAAGTTTGAACATCTTCTCGGGCATGTAGCTTAGGAACTAGCGGGGCTTAGGTCTTAGCAAGGGGAGGGTTGTGAACTGCACCGAACGATCTTCAAGATGGCTATTTCAGTTCAAACCCCATGCAAATGCGAAGCACTCCCTTGAGCGGTAAAGCCATTTTCACATACAAAATGATGTATTCGTTGTAAGACCTGAACTGTAAAACGGTTTTACGTAAACGAAGTGACGTGATATGTTCGACGTGTCCAAAAAGATGAACTACTTAGTGTTGTACAATGCGAACAATTAGGATATCTAGATTGCAGGACTAACGTATTCCGGTTTCTCAGAAACACGAACACCCTATGTGTGGTGTTTATCAGTGAGGGGTTAGCAAATCTACAGGTCATGACTATGCAACATTTATAAGTACAGCGCGTCAGTCCGTAGTTAAAAGGAGCATGCAACCTTTTGCATCTTTTACTTGTTGTTATATCAGACGCGCACGATTTGATCAGCATTACTAGCTGTCTTGCGATCCGCCAGAATACCTCAGATTTTCGCCAGAAATATCCGCCAGAATACCTCAGAATTGCGATCCGAAGTAGACGCTCCTGCGACAGAAATGTCATTGACATCTCCATTGGAAATAATTTAAAATACCCTTACCTGGCCTTGGTAGTACAGCAGTAGCACTACGCAGTGCTACTAATAGACACAACTGGTCCTGAGGTTTCACTTAATTATGTGTTTGAAATATGCCCCAAAGGTGGAACAATCGCTTTGATGCTACGCGGTGGAATAGCGTATTAGCGGCTGACACAGTTAGCGGCTGAGGCTTTCTCTAGCCACGTTTAAGCAATACACGATATACGACGGAAACATTAGCCCACACGCTCATCTGTAAACAAAAACGAGGTTATATATATATACATATATATATATACACATATATATATATATATATATATATATATATATATATATATATATATATATAGACATATGGTTGGGAAGGGGGCGCCATGTCATTCGCATATCGTTGGCCAACGTTTCGTCGTCATAATTCTGAAACCGATATCTAATTTTTTTCCAAATCGAAATGAGCAGGTCACATCCCTGATTAAAATGAGCAGTTTTTACCGGATCATGTCATTAGTCTGCCCGCTCATGTATAAAAACATATTTTTCCTGATAATCTTGACGTTGGTTTTATTTATCTGCAGCCAAATGCACTAGATTTTCGACCAAAATGTAATTATCATAGTTTTTCCTAGGTCCTATGAATAATGATATTTGTTGAGCAGCCCTGCTCACTTCGAGAAAGTCAATGCCATTCAATCCTTTGTTTCGTGACTGATGGCCATTCAGCACACTGATGGGCACGGCTATGTATTTTCAGTGACTTGTACCATCAACAGCTTTGACAGCTTTTTAAAGCTGCAACTTTGTTAAGACCACTTGCTTACGTTTTGCTCTAGGTGGCCCGGTTGCGCTTCCGATCGGGTGCAGCGATAGCTAGTAACACGGCCTGATTAAGGGAAGATATTTTTCAGGTAGCCGCCAAAAATTGAGTTATCTTTCCTGCTGCCCTTTTTATCGTACCACGGAGGGACAGAGGCATGTCATTTTGAATCGCTAGTTCAACTATTTTTGTTGACGCCTTGGACGAATTGCTGAAACTGTATGGTTTCTGGCCCAGATACTGTCTAGCCGGTCGGATCTGACGGCGGGCACAGGTCAAATAAACCAAGTACTTTGGTCTATCTCCAAGCCTTTCACAGGTAAAAGCTCTGCTACAACTGAGTGGGATTCGGCATATTTGTGCGCACAATGCTACCTAAAAACCGTGCAACCGGCGCCTGTGCGCTTCGGATAAGCTTTGTTCGTTTTGGATGAGCTCCTCCGTCCGCGGCGCAGCTTCGAGCACAGACCAGCGTACTCACCGAGCACAGACCAGCGTACACACCGAGCACAGACCAGCGTACTCACCGAGCACAGACCAGCGTACTCACCGAGCACACACCAGCGTACTCACCGAGCACAGACCAGCGTACTCACCGAGCACAGACCAGCGCACTCACCGAGCACAGACCAGCGTACTCACCGAGCACAGACCAGCATACTCACCGAGCACAGACCAGCGTACTCACCGAGCACAAACCAGCGTACTCACCGAGCACAGGTTGGGCTTCTCTCCCGAGTGGACGCGCATGTGGATCATCAGCTTGTAGCGGGCGTTGAAGGGCTTCTGCTGGCGCGGGCAGTCGGCCCAGAAGCAGGTGTACTCGTCTCCGCCGCGGCTGTCCACGTGCACCTTCTCGATGTGCTTGACGAGCGCCGCCTGGCGGTCGTACTGCAGCGCGCAGCCGGCCCACAGGCAGGTCAGCGGGCCGCTGCTGGAGCTGACCTCTGCCGGCGAGTCGAGCGGCCCGACGGGGTACAGGCGCCCGCCGCTCGGCTCCGGGCCGTACTGACGGTCGGGGCTCGAGTCCGGCGCGAACGGGCCGCCTGGCCGCTCCTGGCGGTACGGAGTCGCCGACGGCTCCTGCTTGTACGGGTAGCCCGGGTGCTCGTGCTTGTACGGGTACACTGACGGCTCCTGCTTGTACTGGAAGCTGGCGGGCTGCTGGCTGACCTGGCAGCGGGCGGGGTCCTGGCTGACGCGGCAGACGACCGCCTCCTGCTTCAGCTGGACGCCGGCCGGCTGGCGCAGTGGCAGAACCTGCTGCTGCAGCTGCTGCGCCTGCTGCTGCGGCAGCACCAGGTAGTTGGTCTGGCAGGGCGGCCAGGCGACGCCGTCGGCCGGCCGCAGCGACTGGAACGGCGGCAGCGAATGGCCGTAGTTGCCGGGCGGTGCGGCGGCCGGGCCGGCCGGCTCGGCCAGCAGGCAGGTGGGCGAGCCGCGCACCGGGCCCACGCCGTCGGTCACCTCCAGCGGGAACGGCGACGCCGAGAGCGGCCGCTTCTGGCGGCGGCCCAGCTCCAGCGAGCCGCGCGGCGTCACCAGCGGACTGAGCGAGAGCGCGTCGCTCGGGCGCCGCGGCTCGGCCAGCTCCGGCTGCCAGCCCAGCTCGGGCCGCGCCTCAGGCTGCAGCAGCGCGCCCAGCAGCGAGGCGGCGTCGTCGGGCAGCTCGAAGGCGCGCAGCGGGTCAGCGGCCAGCGCGGGCGACAGCTGCTCCTGCAGCAGCCCGGCCGTGTCGTGCTCTAGGTGCATGGTCAGAGACGCGCCGGCTGCCGGGAGCGGGACGACGGGTCAGTGTCGGCACAGCTGGCCAACACCGGGTCAGCATCCGTCAAAGGTCAGAAGTTCGGGTCACGAGGTCGAGCAACGGGTGGGGAATGCTAGCGCGGAGACTGAAGTGTGTGCGTTCCGAGAGTGATCCCTGAATAAAGAAAGGTCTGGAAACCGTTTTACCTTTTCTTTGTTTGTGCTTACTCACAGACTATTTTTAGATGTTGGTCTTCTATACCACTCGTCGATGCTGCCACACTACAGCCATGCACCCGGCTTAGGATACAAATGGTCCTGAATTCAATCGCGGAAGGAACCACTTGTTGGATCGAGTTAATTCGTGACCAATCAGAACCCGGCAATCTGTGTCTGCCGGACGGCCGACCGTCTGATTGGCTGTGATGGGCGGGGCTTCGCCGGCGTCGCCGGGCCGGGCGCAGGGGCCAGTACCAGCCGGCCTCCTACTTCCTTGGTGAGGGTTGCGCCACTGGTAGGGGTGCGGAGGCGGGGGGGGGGGGGTTCAGTCCCTCGAACCTTGCGGAGTTCAACATTAGGCATAAGCTTCGTATGTAAAGTGATGCTTTGAAAACCCTTCTGTCCGCCAGATTTTGACCCGCGGCACCTGGCGGAGTCTTGGCATCTGGATCGTGCAGGCAACGTGCATGGCTCCGGGAGAACGAAGGTCCAACGGCTGTCGACGGAATGTGGCCACTCATCACCGCAAGTAAACGACATTGGCGCGAACACCCGGGTTTCAGCCATTACGGGTCTGAAGCATGGCGCCTCATTGAAAACTCTTGCAAACGGTGGAGAATTTTTTTTTTAAAATCAGGGGAAGAATGAGAGGCGTGGCTTTGAAGTGGTTGACATTCACTTGGATATGATTTTAAGTCCTGACTTGTCCATTTCAATTTAAACAAGGTTCAGGACTCGATCACACATTCAGCTAGCTTAGTAAAAACAGGTACGGGGTAAATTCGGTTTATATTGGACCCATCATGACAAAATTTAAGTCGTTTTCTTCTCATGCACGTTGAGCTGATATAAACGTTATGACTTGAACTTCTGTGGAATATTATGCAACGGAAGAGCATCCAACTCTGTGCATGTACATCACATACATTAATTATACGTGGTAGCCTAACCAATCCACACGGAAAAGGTGCACTAGCCTTCTGGCCTGCAATCGGTTTTCGTTCTTTTTCTCTTTTTTCAACTTCTTTGGCAAACCTGATGCTTCTATATGCTGTTAAACTTGCGCAACGGTTCATTGCGATTGTTTCATGGAGTTGTATTAACCGAACAGCACCGATCATGCGTCGAAAGTGTCTGACCACGTAGAATCTCATGGTATTGGATGAGCCATGCTTGCATCGGACAGAAATGATGTAAGTGAGCAGATATACAGCGCTAAAAGAATTGCGATGTGTTTGAAGGTAAGCTGAAGGTGTGGAGTTAGTGGACCCCAGTAGTCAGCCAGGCACAGTAAGCGTGGCATAGTCCAGTTGTCAAACAGGTTGAATCTATTGCAGTCGTCATGTCCATTTCCGTCGCTGGGAACAAAAGAAAGCATATGAATAGAGTGCTCATTTGCATTTGCCACGACCAATTAGGTCGTGGTGTGTAGGCGAGTGGAAACACTAATACGTGTTCTATATCGGTTATGGCAAGCGCATTGGATCACATTATTATTGTTGTGAAGCTCACTGTTATTACAATTCATTATCACCGAAGTTCATGCATGCTTGCTTCGTAGCCATTAAGCCAAGCTTCGGAGAAGGCGACGTGCTTGAACAGAAAGTATTTGGGCGGGAAATTGCGCTGCTTTACTTTGATGCGCTAAAATGTTTCCTAAGAAATCTTTTTAAAATTCATGTTCGGTGCTCGTTGCCGTGACTTGTGTTTTCGTTGCTGATTACGTATGACGCCACACCCAATGGTATTTTATGCGTGTTTTTCTTTCCCGATGTAAATCATACCGTCGCTACCAAGGACGCTGATGACAGGCTTCAGCTAGCAGCGTCTTTCTTGTTATTCATTCGCTGGAAATTGTCCCGCACTGGTACGCCATAATTTGTTTTCAAAATACCCATTTACGATATGGTTAATTTTCCTTCAAAGGAAAAAAAATCCTAGCAACTTGACCCAATGTGCGTGCCGCCATTCCTTGGCACGGGGCATTTTGTCACATAAATATTCTCTCTGCATCTTCTGCTATCAAGGCAGGATTATTTGATGCATAACTTTGTTCTCTCTTCGGATGTGCTAATGCTCATCTTCAAGAAAGAAACAAGAGGCTTATTAACATGATGTTGGTATTTCAAAATTGAATGCACTGGTAGTTACGGTAAAATGAAAATGACCCGATAACCAAAATAAAGCATTCATAAAAAGGGAGACAACGGATTTTTCCGATTCCGCCCGGTCAGAAAGGACATGCGCCAACCTGGTTTTCCTTGATAGCTTCAATTTCTTCAATATCCCTCCTTTACCGCCCATGATCGCGTATTGTTTTTTCGACGAGGTCAGGCGGCAGCTTAGATGGCCGCTCGCGACGAGCTGGCTGCCACTGTCCAAGCTGCTAGACTCGTCAGCAGTGGCATTCACTGTCATGTTCAGCTGCAGATACCCTCGAGATTAAATCGCTCCTGAGCATGCCATCTCCCCCCAAGCGGCGCTGGGGAGCGTGACAAGGTGAGGTCAAAGCTCGGCATTTTTCTCACGCCGTTCGCCCCTCTGTCGTTCGTCAGGTTCCAAAGCGTCCAGAGCACCCGCCCGCGCCCCTGTTCCGCATTTCAGCGCCACGCAATGCGCAAATGAAGCGCAGCTATCCCGAATTCGCGTCTATTTGTTTATATTTAATTTATTCGCTCCATTCCATCTTCGTCACGGCTTGAGTTACATCATTAGAGACGCGCGGTGACAGCGGTGGCGGACGGCGCGCCCCTCCGCCGCCAGCGCCGCGCCGCGCCCCTCGACAGCGCCGCGCGCGCCCCTCCGTCCTGCTCCCCTTGCCCTCTGCCGGCGGGCGCGCGAGCTCTGTCTCGCGCCGCTGGACCGCGCCCCATTTACGCCCGGCCCACCCCTGCTGCATAGCTCTGGGTCGTTAACGGTAGGTTGACACCACAAACTATCGCCACCCCATGCTTTTTACGGAAGCCTCGTGTGATGAGTGGGGATGAAGTTAAGGCTTTACAGCGCAGACCACGCCGAACACTAAAACACTCGTTTGGTCAAACGTCCTTCACGATGTTATTTGACTCTTTTTAAGCGGCAGTTTAGGGACATAAAGTGGTCGCCGTCATTGTAAGAGAGTATGCTATCCATCACACACCGCTCGTATCATTTTGGTGCCCATGTTATATGGATGTGACAGTGGTGTGCGCGGCATTTCGCGATGGGATAGTGCACGACTCAAAGTTTTTCACTGAAAAACCCAGACAAGCGTGCCGTAGGTGCGCTGGAGTTGATGCATGACATAAAATAATGTCGCGTGTTTTCAATCAACTGTTTCATGTTCCCATCACGAGATTTTTTCAGTGTCAAAATGTAGTCACGCACGTATAATACTAGTACTATGTTTGATCAGTGAGGAGGCACGTGCACCATATTTCACCATGTGCATGTTCATATGACAACATAAACTGTTCACATGATGATACCAATCGGAAAAATTGTTGATAAATGTAGGTGGGTTCTTTCGGCTGTGAGCTATCACTTATTTGCGAGCAAGATAGGCAATGAAGAGCAATGGGGCGCCAAAACGGCTGGTACTAACTTCCGACCACGCAGCTGCATGGACAGCTTTTCTTCAGATACCATAGGAAGAAAAAAGGAACTTTTCGCTCAAATGGCCGTGGGATTCGAACTGCACAAGTTCTCTCACCGATTGTGCGGTGTTGTTAAGCCAGGCACAAAGCTGCTCCCATTGGCGAACTGTCTTCTCGCCTGCTGTGCGTAATTGCCAGAATGGCCATGCTGCAGCGTACCCTGTTGTTGCGTTGGTGACACCAAACCTTCCCAGGGAGCTCGCCCGAGGATGGATCACTTTAAGTCGATTCATTCAGTTGGTTGTCAGTAAGGGGCCTTTTTGTATGATATAATAGTTGAGAAAAGGGGTAAAACTTATATAAAGCGATATGCTCTGCCAAACCAGGGGAGCAAGTGGAAGTTCCTATTACTCTGGGGAATTTTAAACACGTTTGCTGATGCACGGACGTTACATGGAATGAAACATCTCTAAACTTAGCATGTTCGCAATGGCTTACCCGTAGCGAAGGCCACGTGTAAGTCACAATTGTTATTGCCTTAATCGTTCTTAAACCACTCAGCCCGGAGGAAAGCTACTTCTTACCGTTGTTACCCGGCAAAAATATCACGCTGCCCAGCTAATGATGTCCCATGCAACTGTAATGAGGTCTGGGAGTCCGCTTATGCAATTACAGGCGAACATATAATGCAACGCAAAGAGGGATGGTGAATGCTGTGAAAACTCGTTGTCACAAAACCGTAAGAACGGGAATATTTTGGCAGGAAAACATTTCTGAATATTGCGATGAACCCTGGTTAGCCAGTGTTGCACCACCGTACCTCATTATCCATCCATCTACACAGGTATGCACATGCTCCTTACAATAGTGTAGAAGCATGCGACAAAATAAGCAAATCCTTAGAACAATGCTCGCGGAAAGAGCCTTCCGACTTCGAATTATGACGCGGCGAAGAATTTACAT